ACGCTTTCTAAATTTATCGAAAACTCAACTAAAAATCCTATCAATATAATTGAACTTTCCAAAAGACAGACAAAGTTATGATGAATTTTCTCTCAAATTGCTCGAAATGAAAAAATTACAAGAAGAAAAGGAATACATGGAACTTTTTAGTAAAAAGTCAATGAAAAAAACTGTACACAGGACTGACGAAAATTTAATTTTAATTCTCAAAGAAACAAGAGATGTTAAAGAAAAAGTAAACGATTTGATCCATTTAACAAATGGAACTTGTACAGGGGGGCTAAAAAAACCGCTTCCGTCTTTTTAACCGCTTCCTATCGATTTAATAGTTATAAATAATATTAATATAATAAAATGTATAGTACTGTTTACCATGAGGCTGAATATGCCTCGTGGAGACTTTTTCTGTCCGAGGTGGTAATTTGTATCATACTTTTTATTATAATGTTATTATTTATAACTATTAAATCGATAGGAAGCGGTTAAAAAGACAAAAGCGGTTTTTTAACCTCCCTGTAACACTAAAATTCCAGAAAGTGGTGGTGTTGTACAAATATCACCAACTCAACAACACATTAATGCTCCAGAATATTCACTTTTAAACTCTCCACGGAATCAACCAAAATCTCAAGACATGGATAAAATCGATTATGGAAATAGTGATTGTAATTCAATTATAATTAGTTCTGGACTTAAAGAAACAATTGAAATAAAAGATGAAAGTGAGCGGCAGTACAGGATCGAATTTGGAAAGCTTGATAGTAATGATATAGATGATCTTCAAATAGCATTGTTAGAACATAACAACAAGGAAAAAATGTTGTGTTTGGTCAAGCTGATTTGATGTTTGGAAACGCACGTGTTTTCAATGACAAAGAAAACAAGCAAAAGATGGACAGAGATATGAAAATAAATGGAAAATATGGTAAGTTTAACAATGCGTTTTACCCATTATTTTGGGGTAAATTAGAAAATGGACATTGGTCTCTTTTGTATGTAACAAGAGAAGAAAAAAGAAATTTGTGGTTTATAGACCATATGTAATAGATAGCGAGGGAGTGAAAATGTATTCCAAAAAAGTAAGAGATAAAGTGAATGAAAAAGTTAAAAATTTCTACTCTTGTGTTAATTATCCACCTCACAAAAAAGTGTAATTAAAAATATACAAGTATTGATGGTGTGATTGGACAATCAAATGGTTACGATTGTGGTCGGTATATTTTGTTTTATGAAAATTTTTTGATGAATAACAACGACAAATACTTTATCAAAGAAATGCAAAAACTTAAAACAGAAGATTTTGATGTATTTAAAACTGAATTTATTTTCAAAAATTCGCATCAAATTGTTATTAGTTATTTGTTTATGTTTGTTTTACATAAGATTAATTATTTTTAAAACTATAAACATTAGTATAAAAATTGTTCATTGAACCATTTATTATATAACTTATATTACATATTAGTTTAAAACATATTCTATTAACATAGTTAAATAAAATTTAATTTTTACTATAATAACGTTAAAAATAAAAATGGCAAAATACCACTTTTTACCAAAAGTTTATAATTTAATTATATAACAATTGTAAATTGATCAAATTTATAACACATTGCTATCCGGCAAATACCAACAAAAACCACTAAAAAACAAGGCATGTTACTTATTTTAAACAACATTTTATAATAACAATTGTCTATCTATATTTACCATCCACACCTTTTCAACCTATCCACACTTAACTATGCCATTGTATTTTATGACAAATTATATGTTATTTTATATATTATTCAATTTCAATATTTTTTTGGATTACATATAGTTTATACAATTAATTAAATAAATTAAAGTTAATTAATAAAAAACTTTAGTGTTAAAATTTTTAACAAAATTGTATTTTTTTGCGGCAAATTAATTGAAATGGTAAAAGTAAAAGATGACTTTTACTGAAAATAAAATTTGATTTTTCTGTTTTAACTTTCAAAAAAATCGTTTTTTTATGAATTCGGTCCAAAAAACGTATTTTTTTGTAAACTCTTAGGCAAACTTTATATCAATTACAACACAAATGTGTAAGATTTTCAAAGCCATCCACATAAAAGTGGTCTATCACGTTAACACTCTTTAATAATATTAATCACAAACAAAATCATACTATTATTTATATAATTTGTTAATCCAATTATAATAAATATATTGTTTAGTATTGTTTTATTTGTATTTATGAGAATAAATAACAATTATTCAAAAATTATTATTATAATAAGGGGAGTGAGGGGCTTGACCTATTGTTTTATTATCTTTTTTACTATACAGAGTTTTCCCGGTTCTATTTATAAAATAACAAAAACTATAAATAATTTATAAAAAATGTCAAAGAAAAAGATTCTTAGCTTATCCAAAATAAAATAAAACGTTTTTTGATAGAAAAAGTAAACAACCTTAGTGTTATGAAGAAAATTGAATGGCTTATTTCTATTGTTTGAAATAACCAAGAATTAATTCACAAAGCTTCAATTATTTTGTTTCTATAACAGCACAAATACAACTTCTTTGTACATAGACAGGATTTCCTTTAGCCATAATAGACAAGTTGTTCCTCACACAAGCCAACTCGTCTCACC